TTTTTTAAAAAGAGAACGAACATTGGAAAACACTTTGTTGTCTCCATCCGTCGTCATAACTGGGAGCCAACTGTTTATTGTAAATGAAATATACTTCGTGCACACAACCACAAGAGAGAGAGAGATCGTGTCTGCAGTCAGAGTGTACTTCTTCACGGGGTAAAAAAATTATTGTGACATATAGGACATTGATTAAAAAAAAGACATGACATATGACATTAATCATGTTACATAATATCACTCTCGATCGCGACTCCTACAGTATTCGTGACTATTAATGCCTGCTTTACGCTTTATCGCAATAAATCTGGGACACAATAGCGTGACAAAGACTACCAAAGAAAAAATGGGCCATCGACCGATCATAAAGGGAGTGATTTCATCTGATTTTCTTCCAGTATTCTAGCCCGCCTCCAATCTGGGCCCAATCTTCGCCAATTGACATTTACGGCATCAAACATGTACGTAATGTTCTACGTAATGGGTCGCACACGTAGGCTTTTGATTTCGCAATGACAGATTTCGGCGCGGGCGCATATATATGGTCAGGAGGAGAAAGCGGTTCGAGTGCCTTCGTACCCCAAGAGAACAGAGGAGGGTTTGTTCAGTGTTTTACCCCCTCCCCTCCTTTTTTGGACATCTTGGGTCCGCTAGTGGTATATTTTGTTGTATTTTGAATAAAACAGTGGGGACACGAGGCTTCACTCTTAATTCACACTTTACTAGTAATTTTTATGTTGTTTTTTGAGTATTCACTCCTCCACCAAAAAAGTATCCCCCCCAATGCAATGTGTTTGATGATACAGAATATGAAATCATAAAATAATACTTTTTATTCAACTTCTAGAAGGATTTTTTCCACAAAATGTTACTTATTTCAAACCATAGTAAAAACAAATTAAAACCCTGTTTTGGAATTTTGCACAGTAGGCCTATCGTCTGGACAGTACAGTAGGCCTATCGTCTATCATCTGAAGAGTGCAAAGTGATTCGAAACCATTTTTATTTGTAGGGTTATCCGTTGGGCCTAACGTAGACTGTCACTGCCTTGCCCGTGTACCTGTTATTTTACTGCCTAACCTTCTGAACGGTTCTTATGAAACAAACCAACCTTCTGGGGATTTCAGCGGGTCGAACTCCCTCCTATGTCAACTGCATGCTAAAAATGTATTCCTCTTATTTAGAAGCAGCATATTAAAATATAATAAGTGTTGGGATATTTAAATGGTCAAGCTTGGTACATATAGGTCAATGTTCTACATGTACTTCTCACATCCACCATTTACCCGATATTCAGTTTCCCCGTTGTTACGTGATAGTAAATTAAAATTATGGATACCCTCTTAGCAATGCAGTGGAGGCGAGCCTTTTTGGAAGGGGACTACGTTATTGCTACTGCCTAAAAATTTCCACCCACAATTTTGGACATCGAAACCAGGTTATCATGTCATGAAAACAATTAAAAATACTAAAATACAAAAAATGCTACTTATCTAAAGCCGCATTCACAACCAAAGTTACAAACAGATCCGTGGATCAAATATGGCCGACCCACTTGACAGCTTATACGGCGGAATCACCGCGGGCAATCTATTCAGTGTCTATAAGGGAATTATGCAGCAAACTTTCAATCGGGTCGACCATATTTTATCCGTGGATCTGTTGGTCTGAATGCGCCATAAGAAGCTCCTTCAAATTATCGAATTATTTTACTTGCTCGGCTCCGCAGGATCATCTCGTTCTCAAATGACCAGGACAATGACGCAGTTAGTGCCTACCCTAAGCCAGGGCGACAGATTGATTTTCCACAGATATTCACTATATGGCTATAGATAAATAGACAGTCATTTTTGCTCTCAGTCATACACGCAAAGACATATCAATAGCATATCATAACTGCGATAGACGTTTTTCAAGGAGTCCGAAACATGTAAGTCATATAAAAGACAACCCGAGTCTAAATCATTGCATTAAAAAGGAAATACCTCCAGGAATGTATTGTTAGAACGTCTTTTTTCTCAATTTTCTCGTTCTTTTCGGACGAAACGCCTGACGTGATTTTAAAGCCTCAGCATAAAATGTCCACAATAATAACCGCGGCCCTGGTAGAGGGTAGTTAATGCCCACGAACCATACGTGTTGGGTTAAAAACAACGTTCTGTTGTCACTCATCTTTGCATTGCTTCTGTACAAAATGTCCCCTTGCTGCCCGCCCAAGGGAAAAATCTTAACACGTGGGTAGTTAGGCAAGACCTGTGACGTGTAACGCGCTCAAAGCTATTAGGGTCAATTTAGAGATTTGTTAATGCCCGCCTTGCCTGACTCCTACCTGTATGACTAAACTGATGACCACGGACGATATGAAAATAATTGACTTGAAAACTGCTTGTTCATCCCCACGGTTACGGCACTAAAAGCTTTGTTTTAAAGAAAACATTTACGTCATGAATCTGACTACTCCACGTGCCTTCGATGATGAAGCTAAATTATCTGCAAACTTGACCTGGACATGCCAAAGTTAAAATAAAGTGCACGCTGCGTCCAACCGAAAATGTATAAAAGAGACTCCAGAACGGGCAAGTTGTTACAGAAGTAAAAGAAGCATGAGAAACGCACAGTTATCGCCGCGGGTTGCCGTCGCAGCACTGATAGCAGCAGTCTGTGCAGTTTGGGTGAGTGGCCTCTTCTGCTTAATTAAGTACCAATATATTGATACGTGCCTTTTCCAACTTTCTTTCTAACGTGTCAAATGGTTGTGTAATGTGGTGTTTAGTTATTTTGCCTTATGATTTCTTAACTGTTCGTATTTTGCCGAAGACGCTAGACTTTATGCCTAATCAAATTTACTATTCTGAACTATTTCAGCTATCAGAAGTATCACACGCAAAAACTATAGATGAACTTATCAAGAGTGCAGCAAAGAAAAGTAAATATCAACATTTCTTTTCGTCATCGTCATAGTTCGACACCTACACCAAGTATATAACTTGTTCCAATTACATAGAGTAAATAAACATTTCGCCTGCAAGGTAAAAAAAGGGGGGGGGGGCGAAAAAGGGCAAAAAGTATATATTAAACGTTTCTCAATGAAAATCGGAAAGTGGTGCATTTGGCTTAACTCTTCACAGTATCTCGTAATATTCTAACCAATATTATTGAAACCAGTAGGATGTTGATACTTAATGGCCTGTTCAGAACCAGTTGGTCCGCGAACTAACTAGTCTGCGGATCAAATAAGGTCGACCCACTTGAAAGCATGTCGAGATTTAAATGATCTGCATCGGATGAGACGGCGCAAATGTGATGCAGGAATCCATTGTCAAGTGCACGTCTTATTTGACCCGCGAAATAGTCAGTCCGAGGAAAAAATGGTTCTGAACACGCCCTTACTCTAGTTCTCTTTTTACCCAGACAAGGCTTTAGAACTATTTCAAGATGACAATGTAGTTCTACGCGAATTAGACATTTTAGAGCTGAAGAAGGTCTATCTCGCACTCACAAGAGCCCGGGAGGAGGAATTTGGGTGAGCTAAATTGTCATATTTGAGGACAGTTGGGATCAAATAACTCATATATATATATTATAGCACAACAAGTGATTTAAATAATTCGCTTTCAGTTGGGAAGTTACAGTTATGAAACAGGTGGCGATTACTCGCTGCTTGTTTAATTGACTGGAATAAGTATTATCGGAAGGTTGTCATTACACACACGCATCTTGACAACTTATGAATGGTTTCCCTTTTTTTCTGATAAAATTTTAGTTCAATTATAAAACTAGAAAAGCACTCTGAGAGCGCAGACCTTCGCCAAGGCAGCAATTTATTATTATTATTGATTATTGATCCAGATCACCACTAAAAGGTAATCATTTGTTCCTTGGCCCACTAAAAATTTCATCAAAATCGGTCCATAACTTTTTGAGTTATGTTGATGACAGACAAACAAATGAACAAACAGGGGTGAAAACAACTTCCTTGTAGATGGTGAAAACGTAAGGCAAAGACTACTAGTGGCACCACGTCTCATTTGGTAATTAAACCGTTATTCTTTTGTTTGATCTTATAAGTCCTCCAGACAAGAATGATAACGACCGGGAGAAACGAAGACGAAAAAAGAGGAAAGGCATACGGGATAGACGACTACGGTGGACAAATAATATAGTCCCGTACACCATCTCGTCGGTGATGAGTAAGTAAAGTTTGTATAAAAAAAGATAACTGATATTGTTTTAAGCTTGTAAATCGGCTATACACACATTAAAGCATGTGCTTAAACATACTTAAACACAATTGGCGGAATCACGCACGTGCACGTGGAGTTCAAAAGTGCATTCGCATGCATGCTCAAAATTAATGTATGCGGTGAATTTCTCTAATAAAATACTACTTTACCGATCTATGTTCACAGCTGCCTCAGATCGCACAGCCATACAGCAGGCCTTCAACGACTGGAATACATACACATGCATCCAGTTCAAGCCGAGAACAAATGAAAGGAATTACATACACTTGCAAAATGGAGCCGGGTAAGAAGAAAATAATTAATGCTTACTAGAAAACCATGTTGGATTTGGAACTGCCATTAAATAAACATTCCCTTATGAAACTGCATGTTGATTTATTCACAAAATACACCTGTAAAGGGTCCTTATGCTCTAAATGAAAATATTTGATTGTTTTTTGGCGTTTTATTTTTAGGTGTTCTTCATATGTTGGGATGTTAGGTCGAGGTCAACAACCAGTTAACTTGGCTCGAGGATGCAGATCGGTAAGTTTAATCGTTCTTTAACCTCGTATTTATCCAATTGTTTCACTTAATGTCCTTTTCATCTTATTTACCATTGTTTTCTTTTCGTTTGTACACAATTATATTGTCCAATTGACCCCGATTTGCCTTGAGCAGAAGTTTTTTTTATTGGGTTTTACTTTTTTCTTTATTATTTATACTTTGGTGTTGCTCTAAAGCCATACCCCGTTGTTGTAGAACTCTAAATGAATCCAAGATCAACAAGATGGCGCCGTATTATAAACATATACAGTATATACCGGTATAATGAACCAAATCTCACTTCCTTCTCACTCTTTATGGATTTGGTTTTCCTATTCTTTCTCATCATATCTATCAGAAAGGAATAATCATCCATGAATTGGGCCACGCAATCGGCTTCAACCACGAGCAGACGAGATACGACCGGAGAAAGTATGTCACCATCCTCAGGAAGAACATTCCAGAACATCTTTTTTACAATTTTAGGAGATATCCAAAGTCTTATACTAATACGCACGGCCTACCATATGACTACGACAGCGTCATGCATTATGGGCAATATGTAAGTTTAAGTTTTTTTTAATTATTTCATTTGTCGTCTTTTCGTTTAATTCTCTGAATTTTGCTTTCATTTGTTGGATCTCTAATACAAATGGAAATACAAAACCAATATATTTTCAGGCCTTTTCTACCAATGGGCGTCGGACCATTATAACCAAGGATAAAACAAAGCAGAATACGATCGGAAACAGATTTGGGCTTAGTTTCGGCGATGTCAAATTAGCAAACGCCATGTACAGATGCGATAGTGAGTATCGTCGTTTTAAAAACAAGTTTTGCAATACGTTCAGGGCATTTGTAAAAACTGCCAATTTTAACACTGTTTATTGTACATTGCATTAATTATGTAATAATGTGATGTAATAATTTAATGTGTATTGTTGGATAATTCTTAAACGGGTTAAAACCAGCACACCTCTCTCCATGCATGAGACTTTTTTACTCAAGTCTGATTTTTTAAATCTCAGGCGGCTGCACCAACAAACCCAGGTGCCCCTCCCCGGGCTTCGTGGACAAAAATTGCCGTTGTAGCTGTCCAGGAACTAGAAGTGGCGTTCCAGTGCAACCCTGCGGTTAAAGTCCCCGAACTTAAGTGGTAAAGTATCTGTCACATGTGTTCAACTTTAAGCATATCGGCATTAAAGTTTTTTTTGACTAATATTCCTCCGCCGCCATGTTACCGTTACCGCTTCTCCTCCTAGACTACAACCTACAATGGCCTGCGTACCCATCTCTTGGATTTAGGTCACCTATAATCTCAACTCGTTCCGCGAAAAATTTGAGCTTCGTCGATTCAGGGGTCTAGGTGTGGCGCTCATTGCAATGCACCCTTGTACAAAATTGACAAATTTAAATGTTCATTATCTACCATACCGACGGAATTATGGGAAAAATTTCTATAGACGGCTGACCAAAAGTCATATGTGGAGATTTCAAATATGACCTTGGATTTGACCTTTGACCTTTATTTCAAGGTGAAACGGGCCAAAATTTCAAAAAAGGGAATTTTTACGAAAAAAATTATTTGCGCTGATATTTAGAAACTACAAATACCTACCTATAATATTATTGGCAGGGGTTACCCTTCAGGTCATCTTTCATCTCCGTGAGTTTGGGGTCAATCGGTGTATTTTCACGGGAGCAGCGGCCATCAGATGCCGAAACATAAAACTCTCTCTAATTCTGGAATCGTTAATGCTAGAGACCTCTTGTTTTTTGCATTTGATAGAGCATGTCAAGCCCAACAGTAAAGGTAGTCTCCGTTTTTTTTCCATATGGTTTACGAGTTATGCTGTATCAAAAAGTACATTGTGGCGGTGAAAGTAAAATGTGCCATATGGTAATATGCATAAAATTTTGAACGTCTGGAAAAGATGACATAAGGCTTGGCGAGGCAGACAACTTTTAGTCAAAAATGACATTATTTCTTCTGTAGGAAATTTATGGCACATTTCTGTTACAAAATACTAAATTATGGACCTATTTTGATGAAATTTTCATGAACTGTCAAAAGTGGGCCAAGGAACAGATGATTAGTTTTTGGTGGTGATCCGGATCAATAATCAATCAATAATCAATAATAATGAAAAATTGCTGCCTTGGCGGAGGTCTGAGCTCTCGGAGTGCTTTTCTAGTTACTATTGAAGTTGAATAAGAAGATATATACTGGCAATCTAACTGCGACCTTAAAATTGACCTTTGACCTACTTTTCACCATGAACTGAACTTTGCAACCTTTCTATCTGTCATATCTCCAAAACTAGCAGAGATATGCCCATGGTTACTATTGAACTTGAATAGGAAGTCATATAATGGCAATCTAACTGTGATCTTAAAATTGACCTTTGACCTTCTCTACTCCATGAATCGCACTTCACCAATTTGGATTTAAACTTTTACTCTTCCCCATGATTTTGTTTTGAATTGTAATTTTCAATAAAAATATCTAGAACTCTAGTTTCTAATTATTGTATCAAAATTGACAAAATGACATATTTTCTTCATCTGTTTTTTGTCTGTACATTTGACAGTTTTGCTGCCTTGTTTTTGGTTTTCCATACTAATTCGCTTACTCCAGCTGGTGGTACAATACCCGGAGGCGGTATCGCTTCTCTGATCCACTAGTTGTGTTCATTTTCATTTATTTCAGTTCCATGCGTTGACGAGAACGTCTTCTGTCCTTCCTGGTGGAGAATGGGAGAATGCACCAAGAATCCCAATTACATGCTTGTAAGCTGTCGACGTTCGTGTGGACAGTGCTTCTTATTGTCGAGTTTATCCTATCATTATTTTTTTTTCATTTCGCAACAGAAATTAATTTGATTTCTTATAAATTAGCTTGGTTT